AATATCCTCCTCCGCCCAATTTCGTCGCTTCGACCCAGTCTTCAGTTTGTCTATCTGACCTTTGGTGAATATAGAAGCCAGTTTATCTTCTATATTTCCCATTTCGGCAGCCATTGCATCCAAACTCTTTTTCAACAGCTCTACTGCCCACGCGTGCTTCTTCAGCTGAAGGTCNAATTTCGTCGCTTCGACCCAGTCTTCAGTTTGTCTATCTGACCTTTGGTGAATATAGAAGCCAGTTTATCTTCTATATTTCCCATTTCGGCAGCCATTGCATCCAAACTCTTTTTCAACAGCTCTACTGCCCACGCGTGCTTCTTCAGCTGAAGGTCAGACTCCCGCTTTAATGTAGCGATCTCGGTACTCTGCTTAGCGGTTTGCTTTTTGAGGATTGCATTTTCGCGCTTCAATGTCGCTCTGCAAGAAGTAGAAAATATAAGTTATAATTTGATTTGCACATTATGATCTTGAAATTATTAACGTACACTTCCGCTTTTAACATTTCCACTTCTTGAAGATCGCCGTCATAGTAAACCCAGTTACGAATTGGTGATGTCGAAGCATCAAGAGTACCGTCCTTGGGTCGATATTCTGTATTGCTTTCAACCACTGTAACAAACCCCTTAGATTAATAATATAATTTTAAGGGCGTACTATTTTTACTACCTTCGCAACTACCTAGCTCAAGCACCTCCATATTGTGGTCATCATGCGGTTGAGACTCTGCTACAGGTATAGCACACACAGAAATGGATGGCACCGCATCGCGCCTGAGTAACGGGCGTTTAGCCAATCCTAATCCTTTTATTAGATATCTACGTAATTCAAAGTAAATGCTACTTACCCGCTTTGTACTGCATAACATTTTGATAATCATCGTCGGTAAAGTGCTTCATGCATATGAAGCTGGTATCCAAATTGAATGGCTTTACTTGTCCGCAGAATTCCACCCACTTTCTCGCCACGGCATCGTTGCGAGGAAAGGAAAAAAAGCTGCATTTAGAGGCACTACCTTGACGGCTGTCGCAATTTAATACACGGCACTTCATTTTATCAGTTTTTACACACTACTCAACTGAAAAATCACTAAAAAATTGCAAATTAACACGATTTTAACCGATTTTTCACTAATAATTCAAATTTCTCTATGCAACTTATTTGTAAACAAAAGTTTATTTACGAGTTACCACAACTGTCAAAATCGGCAAAACCAAAGTAGCGGTACCTCTGACGGCGCCACCTTTGTTTCGCTGCACCGTGAGCGTGTGGCAATCTAATTTGAAAAATAGCAAGTTTCAAGTCACTAATAAGACAGGCTTACAAAAAAAAAAGGAAAAAATGTCGGTGTAACATTCTCTGTAGGCACCCGCTAAAAACACCCAAATCGGTTTTTTTCCTATAACATTCTTATTCGATGTCCGATTTTTCACATATTTCTGTCGCCCATGTTAATACCACCCACTCCCGCGGACCGCAGTTTCGATAGCCGTGATCTAAGTCATTGTGATTACCAATTTGGGCTGTTACTTTGGCTAAATTTTTACTTTCTATGAGTGTAAAGGCCCGTCTATATAAATTTTTGGCGTCGAATTTGTCAAATTGTTAAATATATGATTTATAACAAGTATAAACAAAGAAAATATTAAGAACGGTGGCTGTGGTGCAAGTATTAGAAAATTGAGCGCACCTTAAGCGCAATAAGCAGGGGAATTAATAAAACAGCTTTCTTGCTTCAAGTCCTGTTATTCGGCTAACTTAAATATAAAAAATTTCTAAGACAAATTTTAAAATAAGGTAGTGGCAAATCGATATAAGAGGGCAATTCTGGCAACTGACTTTCAACTCAGCACAGTCTTTCAAAAGACAAAAGTCTTTCGTTAGACAATTGTCAATTCTGGCAACTATCTTGAAAACTTTTTACTGTCTTTCGAAATCTAATTGAAAGATCTGCTCAACAGGAGGTCTTAGCGTTATACTGTTGGCCCTTGAGTAATACGTTTTTTAAGAATTAAGTTAAATTAAAAAAATATTTACTGAATTTAGAATAAAAAAATATTTTTAAAAATTAGATTACTTTCAAAAAACCTTCGTATAAATTTCGAACCCACAGTTTCATACCTTTAATAGACACACGTGAGAGTGAACTGAAAAAGAGGATTGAGGCCTACAAACTTGTCCATGAAAGTTTTGACTTCCTCCACAAATTAGACACGCTCAGTGATTTAGCAATGTTAGCAGAAAGCACGACATGGATGCCATTTTAGCAAACGAGGTAGCACAATGTAAAAATTTGTGCATGCATTTTCAACCAGACTATAAAAAAAAAATCAAGAAGTCGGTAGCAAAGAACAATGGATGTACAAACTTTTGATTGATTATAACATCAAAGATTTTCTCACAAATGTAGAAGTTGCATTAAGAATGTACCTTTCTCTCTTGGTAACCAGCAGTTCAGCAGAAAGGTAATTTTCTTAACTGAAAGTGATAAAAAACCCGACTTTGTAAGTCAATAACGGAAAACTGGCTGAACTTTTTGGCCGTCCGCAAAAAAATTGCCAAAAATCAACGAAATTTTTTTAGAAACTTCAAACTTGCACTTAATATACTAGAATTGAATGCGTCCCTTATTATGTGGACACAACTGTATGTGATATGCTAAATAAATTTTTATTTTCCACAAAAATGAAATAAATGTACATAGTTGCTTTCAAGCTGTGGATGGCGCCCGGGTAACACGACCTATCATCGAAACTCCACAGGCAAAATATATTTGCTGCAATTTGTCATACATATACAAATGTATATTTTACTAGAGCACTTGCACAACATTCGTATACGCAAAAGCTTCGCATTGATTATTGCAAATNGCATCCTTTAATAAGAGGTAATTCGCACTTTTTCGCATAAATTTTTTATATATAAGAAATATGTATATACCGTGATAAAGGTGGCCAATTTCTCGGCAAATTATCCCCGAACAATATTAGTCTATCATAAAATATTCAAAAGTTATGGATGTTTTTCTGAAATGGATGGCACCGCACTCAGCAATGAATATCATTAAAATAAATTCTTAAACTATGTATTGTACATACATATGTATATGTATGTGTGTATGACCAATAGCGCCTTAGCAGCATCAAATGCAAAATTTGTTAAAAACTGTTACTGCTACACCATCTCGATTTTGCTATATTTCTGTATGCTGAAAAGCGAAATTGTTTACATTTCTGCACTCACAGAAAATGTTCAAAATCGATTGGATCTTTTTGCGATTATTTCTGATCCATATATCTGATGCGGTCTAGTAAATGTAACCATGTATTTCCATTCGATTATTGGTGCGTACCACCACCCGGTAGGACCCAAGTTCAATTGCTTCGTAAAAACTATTTGCTCACTGGAAGCTTCGTATAATTATAGGCACACCACAAATTGTAAGAGAAGCTGGGCCAAACGCTTAACAAAAGTGTAAGCGCCACATATTT